CAGGCTCCCAGTGCTTTGAGCTTAAAATTTTTTTTTGTTGTTGTTGTTTGATTTGGTTTAAAAGGGTGCCATGGGACAGAAATCAAACCTTTTTATTTTTGTGCCTCATCTTTACACCTGGAAAGTTACTCCAAGAAGAAACTCAAGGAACACCATCAAAATGTATGAAGAATTCTTAAATTACTTCATAGCATAAAGCCTCTAGAATACATTTTCTGGGGAAAGTGTAGGAGAGAATTGCCTTTGAAGGGCAGAAGCTGGTTGAAATCCTCCAGTATGTAGTAGCCATTTCCTCAGAGAGTAGTTACGTGCATTAGAAGAGCAGGCTGTCAATGCTAATAGCCTGTATGAAACATTGTCTATAAATAATTTTTTAAACATATTCTACAAGAAAAGCATGTTTTTGTGTAGGCTTTGAACTGTATTTTTGATTGTCACCAAGAAGGACGGGGGCTATCCATGCTTGGACTGAGCAGTAGGGCAGAGCTTCACATCTTCTGCCCAGATATTTGGTGACTGCTGGAACATGGTGTTTTTCTCAGTTCATAGTGCCATAAATGAACCCAGGATGCCAAATGATCTGTGGATGTCCAAAAAAACCTCTGTCAAAATCCAGAGGATTATTGAAAATGTATTTTAATGATGTTGCTCAATCTGGTTGGGGGAAGGTACAAGTTTAGCCTTGTTATGTTTGTGTTGCAGAATTAAAGTCCAGTAATTTTGCTTGTTTAAAGCATTAGATGGGTTTTTTTTCTGGATTGGATATTTGGACTTGAAGGAGTGAAATGTCTTCCAGGTTGTAAGCCTGAGCACTTCCAAGTCTTTGATCCAATTTGCACTGGTCAAGTGCTTTACTACGCTGGTAAAATTTGGTGGTAAAGAGGATGATTCATTTTTCCATTGTAGAAAAACAGGTTAGGAAAAAATAACTGGTGTCTATAAACGTACATTTTTAAAAAGCATTGTCTGGCCTATTTGGGTCTTTTTTTTCCAGCTGTAGGTATTGAATAAGGCTATGGATATTGTCAGTCATTTTCTACAAGGCCTTTGACATGGTCCCCCACAACATTCTTCTCTCTAAGTTGGAGACATGGATTTGATAGGTGGATTGTTCACTGGAAAAGGAATTGATTGGATGACCATATCCAGAGGGTAGCGGTCAGGGACTCAAACTCCTGGTGGACAAAGTGGTGTCCCTCACGGGTCCATAGTAGGAGCAATGCTGTTTAATGTCTCCGTCAGTGACAGGGACAGTGGGATCCAGTGCTCCCTCAGCAAGTTTGCCAACAACGCCAAGCTGGGTCGTGTGGTTGACATGCCTGGGGTGCCATCTAAAGGAACCTGGACAGGCTCAAGAAGTGAGCCTTGGGAAACACATGAGGTTCAACAAGGCCAAGTGTAAGGTCCTGTACCTGGGCTGGGGAAGTCCACAACCATCAATATGGGTTGGGAGATGAAGGAATTGAGAGCAGCAGCAGCTGAGAAGGACTCGGAGGTGCTGGTAGAGGAGAGCTGGCAATATGTACTTGCAGCCCAGAAAGCCAGTTGTGTCCTGGGCTGCATCCATGGCTGCAGCATGGCCAGCGGGATGAGGGGATTCTGCCCCTCTGCTCTGGTGAGACCACCTACAGTGCTGCATCCAGCTCTGGGATCCTCAGCACAGGAAAGACGTGGACATATTAGAGTGGATCCAGAGGAGGTTAGAGAGCCGGAGCACCTCTCCCTATGGAGACAGGCTGAGAGAGTTGGGGCTGCTCAGCCTGGAAGAGAGAAGGCTCCAGGGAGATCTTATTGTTGCCTTCCAGTACCTAAAAGGGGCCAACAAGGAAAATGGGTACAAACTTTTTAATAGGGACTGTAGTGTTAGGGCAAGGGACAAGTGGTTTTGAAGTAAAAGAAGGCAGATTTAGACTAGATGTAAGGAAGAAGTTTTTTCAGTGTGGGCTTTGAAACGCTGGAACAGGTTGGTCACAGAGGTGACAGATGCTCCATGCACAGAAGCTTTCAAGGTTGGATGATGCTCTGAACATCTTGAGTGGAAGATGGTGGAGTAATTGCTTAGATAAGTTTCAAAGGTCTCTTCCAAACCATTCTATGATTCTGTGAGTAGTGTGCCTGTGCCTTGCTATGGGATGTCTTGTGGGTAAAGGAGCATTGCTGCTGATCTGCTCATGTATGTGGTCAGCTGCAGAATTTGCTTACTTTCAGTATTAGGAAATAGGCCGATCACAGTGTTTCAAATGGCCACTGGTTTAATTTTTCTGGGAGTCGATGTTTCTCTGAATTGGGAAACTATTCTAATTTAAAAAGAGCCCTTGTAGTTGCTGCTGTTGAAGCAGTGTTTAATGTTGTGTGGCTGTTGGCAGGAGACTTGATGCATTTTCACATGACCCCCTCTGGAACAAAAGCAGATTGTTTCCTTCTGTTTTTCTGTTACACAAATGAGTTCCTTTTGAAACAATTTCTTTTTCTGCATATTCTGGAAATCGACACCAGGAGTAGTTTTTCCTTTGCTGTGTCTTTTACAATCTGCTGTCTGATAATGCTGGCACAAAAAGCTGCTTTGGGGTACCAGCTGAGACCTCTGCAGAGAGTTTCCTCCTCTTGGGGAATGAGTTTTTCTTGCAGTTTTATGGAGAGCTTCAATGTAAACTTCCATTTCTTGCTGTCTTTACTATAGCTAGGCAGAGTTTGTTTCTGGTTTCTTAGTTGTTTCATTTACATATATGCATTTTTAGTGTCCAGTAAACATAGCAATTTTTGTAGCAAGCCAGTTCTGGATTGAGCTTTTTTGCATATTTCAGTATAACAGTATAATAGTATAATGGTTTTGTACTAGCCTCTGTCATCTGAAGCCTTTGCCTGTGAGAAGTGAACTGAAGTCAGATGCAGATGCAGATTATTGGCTGATGCAGTGCTGTATAACTTGACCAATTAGTACTGGATTAAAAGAGCTACAAATTAAATTGGGATCTCAAACAACAAAATGAATCATCCACCAGGGAATGGGTTTCGTGGCAATATTTAATAACTGACAAACTAAAAAAAAAGATGGGGTGATAAAAAAAGGTGTTTTCTCTAAATATCTTTTTTTCTCCTTGTAATTATATACTCATTTCTCACAGCCTTCCCAATGTTCATGCTTCTGGTGACACAAGTTATATTTCCTTATTCCTAGGACACCAGTGTGCCAGTGCTGTGACTGTTAACACAAGTGCTCACAGTACCATACCTGGTGAGGTGGCATAATCCCAAAAATGCACTTTCTTCTGAAGTGTTTGCTTACTTGGGCTGGGCTTCTTCAGAAAATACAACTAGTATGAATTAGGGCTGCAAAATACTTTCAACACTTCTAGTAATTTTGATCAAGCCCTTTTGTTTGTGCTTGGTGACCAGATTCCAGTGATGTTTCTGTGGCTTTCTGTAGTCCAAGAGGTATGACATGGAAGGGAAAGTCTCTTCTTCTGTATGTCCCTGAGAGCCCTGCAGGGAGCAGTGGGTGGTGTGCAGGCAGAAGTCATCCTCAGGAGCCTTTTCAGCCTGGGGTTCTGCAGTGGAAGGGGTGTGGGCTTGTATAGAAGACCACAGAATGTAAATGCATTACCTAAGCCCCTTGTATTTGCTTGGTCCCATGGGAAGTCATACTCCCTGCAGGCCTTCCAGCACTGGCTCCCAGTCCCACCTGAGTCTGGGGAGAAAGCACAGTTTGGATCCTATTTGGCTTTTCTTGCTGGACCTGGATGAAATTAAGGTTTCAGTCCCAGCTGACTAGAACCAGAGGATATATGATTAATTTAACTTGAATAAATCAGAAATCCACTAGAGATGGGATTTTCACAGATGGAAGAGAGAGATTTCTTTAGGTAGAACTGAAAAAAAAAAGTTACTATTTTGTCTTAGCAACTACATATAAGCTTGTGTAATTGTTTTGGTTGGTGCTGTGGGTATACTGACAGCTTGTGTTGCTTATGTTATTTTCGCATAGCTAAAAATTGTTGTTAATGTTAGTACTTTAGGAAAGGAGAAACACCACAAAGAGAAAACCATTCTCTTATTAGAAGTGGATAAAATTTTATTAGTGAAAGTACAGTACAGTTCTGGATAGAAAAGAAGAAATTGGAAGGGTTGGGGTTTTTTTTTTTTCTTAATCAAGAAGAAAATTACTTCCTCTTCTCTTGAGAACAGCTTTGTGCACAGTTGTCCCTGTTCATGGGCAGTGTTGCTGCTTCGTTCCTGCTTTAACTGTAGCGAGGTACCACAGTGTGAGTGCCTCCCTGTACAGACCAGGTGCTACCAATGAATAGTGGCCGTGTGAGGAGCTAACAGGTGGCATTTGAGTCACTCTGCTGATGTTGGCTGAATTTTATCTGGTAATGTCTTACCAGTAAGCAGTTTCTGGAGCTGGAGATGCTCATGCCATGAGATGCTGTGTTTTCTCCCTGGACTCTGCAGCCCTCTCTGTCACTCGGTGACTGTTGATCTCTTGGTTTTATGGGCTGTTAATCAGAGCTGTAATCAGTCACCTATCTGCAGATGATAGCAGAGCCAGTTTTTGCTTTTTTTCCTCCTTTCCTCCTCCCTAGCTAGCCTTGTTAGTTATTTAAGACTCTTTGTTAAAATAGTTTCACAGTCTTTATCTGAAAATTTCAGTATTGCTGGCTTTCTCAAAGTCCAGTCCTCCTCCTCACTGAGGGGTCTTTCAAGATGCCAGCTTTTATTTGCATGTACAAAATACAGAATTCAAAAGAACTTCAGGTTAATCTGAACTCATTATTTTAAGCTTCGGTGCCCCTATAACTGTGATTAAGTTATCAGTGGGAAATGCAGCTCAGATACCAATGGCTCTCTGAGACTAGAATAAGCTTTATGTACTTAATATATGCTGAGAAAGTCCATTATGTTTGCTGGAATTTTTTTCTTTGTTAACCCTAACAGAATGTGTTCAGATGGTTTAACTATTTTCCTGAGCTGAAGAACTAACTTTCTCCTCTTCTTTCCAGTAGGTTGTAGAATGGAACTTATGGATAAAACAATCAATAGTTACTTTGATGTTTGGCTTGGACCCAGAGGTAAGATTTCTCAAAAGTTAACACATAAATAAAACTGATCTTACTAGAACATAAGAAACTTTTTTCCTCTAACTTGACATTGACAGGTGACTACTTTCCTTAGAATCTGCAAAGCATCAAAATGCCTGACAGTGTAATAAATAAGAGTCTATTCAGTGCTCCTGATCTTTTAACCTGAAGAAGTCATTCTTCTTATTATCTGTTAAGCTGGTGTTTGTCTCAGTGGGTGCTGCTTTTTTTTTTTTAATTTAGTAATAGCTTTTATTCTAAAAAAACCACTTCAACTTGCATTTAATTAAATAAAAAATACTCTTGCCTTCATAACTATAGCACTTCTCTGGAATTTTTCACTAAAAATATCTGTAGTTTTTGGAATGTACCGCTTCTTTGAAACCATGCTTTTTGAAGAAGCAATAGGTTTTGCCCAGGGAAAAACTGCAGGTGGAGAACTGCAGTCCTGGTCAGTGTAAGGAAGCCAGAGGCTGTGGAACCAGGACAAGCAGCGGCCTCAGCTGCAGGCTTGGGTAGAAGGGTACTGTTCCACCTGGTTCTGACCAGGGCGATTAAATGACTGCATCCTGCACAGAGTGTGCAGAGCAGTGCTGCTCAGTGGCATGTGCTTTCTTCTTCTGACTGCTGCAATAATACCTTTTCTCTGTCCCACTCAAGATCAGTGATGGTGCCCCTTCTTCACAGAAGAAAATCCACAGGAGGTGGAACAAGCCTCTGAGTCTTTTAAGTGTGTTTTCTGTTTGCTTTTATTAGTATCTCGGTGCCCTTGATGCCTGTCTCTTCATACTAAGCCTGTTTAAATTAGCCTGGATGTTCTGGTATAAAATATTGCATGTGCTGGCATATAGTCTCTATTTACTGTATGAGAAAAATCAAGAACCATAAAGGTGGCAAATCCAAACAATTCCCTCCTTGCCTACCTACTTTCCAACCTACAGTTTTAAGGCCTCATTTCTTACATTCAGGATCCATGTATGATTCCTTTAAAATTAAGTCAAGACCATGAATGACAGCAATACTTGAATTGTCCATTTATAGTTTGGTTAACGTGGTTTCAGTACTTTGGGCTGACTTCAGTGAGGGGAGTGAGATACTATTCTGTTGCCAGGTATGGACAGCACAGCTGTTCAAAAGGATCATGCTACTGTTCCAAGTAGTCCCCTAAAATTCTCGGATTCTGGGTGGTTTATGTGCTTTTCCTGAGAAGTCGATGTATTGCCAACCGGACTGGTTATTCAGGTGGGACTGGCTGCTCTGAGTTCAATTTTCATACAAGGACTCCAAAACGTAATTCTTTCTAATAGCACATATGTAAGTCTAACTGTGTTAGTATTGACTGGAAAATAATTATCAGGATCATCCACCTATAACTACAGAAGTAACTGTTTCACTCCTAGGTGTGACTTTGCTGACTGTAGGAAATAACATGCCATCAGGAAGGGATGATTTGAGAAGATAAAGGGGAGAGATTTGTTGAAATTTTCTTTATAATTTTATCTGTGGTATTCAAGTGGGTGATAGTTCTGAATGGTAATGACTATTTGAAAACAATAGTGGTAATAACTTAAGAATATTTTAGCCTTAGGAAAATAATTATTTCTGCTTTCTTAAATACGTAAATAAAATGTTGTTTGTAATTAGCAATGTGGCCCTTAATAAAAGGGCTTGCTGCACTTCCTTCATCTCTTTTTGGTATTCCGGCACTGGAAGCATTTTGGGTGCAGCTATTTTTAGATGTGTTGAATTCTTCTCCTTACAAAATCTAAGTGTTTTGTATATTTTTGTTTCTTTGTTTCAGACCCCAGGGTAAAAGGATGGCTTCTTCTGGAGAACTATACGCCTACCTTTATCTTCTCAGTCTTGTACTTACTAATCGTATGGCTAGGTCCAAAGTACATGAGGAATAAGCAGCCATTCTCATGCAGGGGTATTCTAGTGATCTACAACCTCGGACTTACATTGCTTTCTCTGTATATGTTTTATGAGGTAAGAGAAAAAGGGTTGGTCAGGCTTATTTTGCAGTATCTGTTTTAATTACATTGGCTCGTGTTGAAAATAATCTGAGCAGAATGAATTCTGAATTCAGGAAGCATCTGCACAAATGGTGCAACCATTTTCAATGTCACTTCTCTGAGGAGAAAACCCTAATTGTAATGTTACCTCTAAGGATGATGTGACACAAACCTTGCCTTAAACATCCTTGCCGACCTTGGCTAGCAACGTTTCAAATGCACTTTGCTCAGTTGGTGCAAATGAAGTCCTGATCTTTCATCATGAACTTGGCTGCTCCAGTAACTTCTCCTTGCTCAATGTGATTGTACTGGTGGACTGTACAAAGTACTTTGTAGCAAAACTGTGGCTTTATCTGGGGGGAAAAACGTTTTATTTACTTGTGTTTAATGGTGCACACACTCCTTGCATCTATTTCTGTAAGCTTGCAATAGGTTCTTTTGCATCCTCTTGGTTTTGTTGGGAAAAAAAAGTTGCTGAAACAATGCTATTGTGATTCATCTGTTTCTTTGAGCTTAAAATCTAAACATACAAATATATTTCAAACTAAATTGAACTTTCTGTGAACTTACTTCCTTTCATAAAAACCCAAAGATTTAGGCAGTGTGAAGTTTTCCACTTCCCAGAGAGCTCTTTAGCTGCTTTTACTCAGAACTATATGTTTTCATTCAAGTGAAAATAGAGAACTATGATAGTGTAAATAATGATGTCAGAAAATTATTCTTTTGCTTTAATGCACAGAATATTCTGGCACACTTTTAACCTAAGTATCTTCTTTCTGTTCGGAGATATTTCAACATCCTCTTTTCAATTCTTTCACTACAGTCTTTTCAAATACAACCTAGTGCTAAAATTACTAATCTTTTTTTTGTATGAGCTTAGAAGTGTATATAAGCTGCAATTCTCCTTTAAGTTTGTAGTTAATTCTGTAATGTTTTACAAGGTGAGTGTTTAGAGATGAAGTGATTTAAATTCAATGTTATTTTTCTTGTGTAGTGAATTTTCTACTCAAAAATTACTGGGCTGGGGTTATTAAGAAATTTGATACTTAATTGTTCAGTTGGGAGCAGTTTTGGATTCAGCAGGTACTTGGAACTGCTTATATTCTTGATGTGCTTACATTTCTAACCTCCTTGTCCAGAGTGTTATAATCCAGAAAAAGTGTGTGTTGATCAGTTTAATTTGTCTAAATGTAGCATTGATGTTGACTTCAACGTCCATCTGCATTATTTTATGCAGGTATTTATTTACAGTTATATAGTGATCTATTGTTTTAACCTCCACTTACATTATTGAGAGTTTACAAGTGCAGACTTTTCTTCAGTTGTACCAAGTATGGCTAAAACTCTCAGGGTAGCCAATCTTTCTCCTTTGAATACTTGGAATAATACTCATAGTGTCTAAATTACTGTAATGTTCTGCTGTGTTACAAAACCTTCTGGTAAATTTAAACAAGAGAAAATACCTGAACTGTTGATCCTATAAATGCCTTTTTCTTGCTAACAATAAACTGGTTACCAAGGAAGGAGTGTTCATTATATGCTGAAGAAGTCCTCCCACTTGTAACCAGATAAATAGCTTTTATATGGTGGAGCAATGACACAACTAAAATATAGTTAATATTAAGACCCCTCCTTCCTATATAATTAAATGCTCTACATGAAAATGAGTATTGCTCTTACTCTAATATTATCCATATGGAACTGTTCATTAGTATTGTAAATATACCTTCTCCTTGTAAATGAGCACACACAAAGCTGGAGCATTGTGAAGATCATTAAACACACGATAGTGGCAATGAAATGTGGTTGGCAGCACTTAGAAGCTGGATGTGAGGGCAGGTGATGCTCTGCAACGAGGAACTGATCTCATAGAAATGCTGCAAAGCAGAGAGCCATGCTGGCATAACACCACACTGCTTGATGTTTGTAGGGACAGAGCCAAAGGACATAGGGAATAAATGGGTTCTTGCACCTCCAGGTATGTTCTCTATCTGAATTACCTGCACAATTACCCCTGTTGGTGCACAGCATATGATACCCTTGGTTGTATCTCATCAGTCTTGGAAATTTTCCTTTGAAGGATTAGCTATATATCAGTAGCAATTTATAGTACACTTACTTGCTTTTAAGACAGAATGATGAGGAACAGCATTCAGAAAACTTATGTAACTCCCTGTTCTTGTTGACGTTTTGAGTTCCAGTTGGATTAAAATTTTTCAGTCCTACTGTGAGGAAAATTACAAAAATTATAAAATGTCACCATTTATGAACTTGTTTAGTAGCGTGTCTGAAATGAAGTTCTTTAATAGCTTGTGTACAATACACCTGAAACCCTACTTTGAAGGTTTTCCTGTGTTGTGATTCAGGGCATGATTCATAGCATCACAGCTCAGTTTGCATATTATGTGACCAAAACAAGATGTTAAAGTGAGGCATCCTCCCAGCTGGGATGAAAAGGATGACCTACTTGGTTTTCTGACCTTTATGTCTGAATGACTGTAAGCAATACCATGGGGGAATTTGTCCTCATAGGATTTGTGTAACTCTAGGTATTGTGTACTTTGGTCTAAAATCACTAGAAATCTTAGATCTCTCATGTGGGATTCCTAATAGTTTCCTTCTATACTTGCTGTACCTTTTTTATTTGGATATTTAGTGACTTGGCTGAGTTTTGATACTCAGAGAAGTGGACTGCTCTTGTCCCAGACAATGCAACAGGCAAGGCAGATCTAGAGGAGTTTGAGAGGTTTCTCCAGGCTAATTTGTCACAAACTTCAGGAGAACAGGATGATCTTTAGGGATAAACAATGCTTTATTCTGTAAAAATCTACAGTGCTTGGACTTTAAGGAGAAATATACGCTCTTATGTCTCAGGCAGGGGCATCAAGGGGTGGCTTCCTGCATGGTGGAGAAAGTGCCTAGCTGGGACTAGCAGGGGGGTTATAGGATATGGGCTGATCACCTGCTGGCTGGCATGGCCATGTCTGGAGGAGCTGCTGGAGCAGCAGAGGCAGCACTGCTTCCCCCTGTGCTGCTGCTCTGTGCTGGAATCACAAGGCATCTTGCAACACTGTAAGTAGGGCCTGTGCCTCTCTGCTTGAGTCTCAGCTGGGTAATTTAGCAAAGAGGGGAGAGTGCCAGGTACCCAGTTACACAGCACACAGACCTATGTTATTTTGGGGAGAGTTTGTTAGCAAAAGTGGCCGAGTGATCTGGACCACCTGGGCTTACATTAGAGAAAACTGGTCAATGATGAAGGCTCACTTTCTTAAGTGATCTATTTACTGTCTTTTTTCTTCATTTGAAAAATTAATTCCTTACTGAATCTGCCCGAAAAAAGTCTTAGATTTTCCTGATGCGTGAGGTGTTGCATATGCTTTAGGAAAAGCCTTGGGAAGCAGGGGACTGTGCAGAGGTGCTGTGTCACGTGAGCCGTGGGTGGCAGCTCGGCTGCTCTTTCCTCTCCCCTTTCTTTCTCCACCTTCCCGAAGCCCTTATCTCTGCCCTGGGCTGACTGCATTCATGTAAAGATAAAGTTCCATATCTTTGCAGGCATTTGCTTGCTTTGATCAGATGTGAACTTCTTTTTCTCTTCATTCTAATCTAGCTCTGTTTTGAACCTTGTAAACCCATCACGCCTTGACAGCGTGATGCAGTGCTAGGTCCCTTATCTGCCCCTCTCCAGTGAGTCTCAGACTTCAGTTTTATCATGAGAAAAACCAAAATCCTCCACAGTAACACCTCTCCTCCACCTAGTCAGACTGATGTTAGTGTCCTGGTTTATTTTGGTAGCAGAATTGATAAAAAAAACATGTGCCACAGCATTTTAAAGAATTTGGCAACAGAATTACAAAATGAAAGCAATAGGAAAAAAGAAAACTTCATTGCAGGAGAAGAAAATGTGGGTTGTTTCAGCACAAATGTGATCTTGAGCTGCAGGTTTTTCCCCTGAGCTGAGGGACTTAACTCTGAGTTTGAGTACTATTTTAATTGGCTTATGGAGGAACTGTCTTTTTGTGCTGTTCAGAAACCAAGTGAAGTGGTTTACTCAAGTGTAAATGGTTACAATTGGCCTTTTCTGAACATGTTAATTTCTTGAGAAAAGATTTGCCTGTGGTTGTTCATCAGCAGTGCCATCAGCAGGACTGGACTCCTGCCAGCCTGAAGGTGAAGGACTTCTAGAGACAGTGGGCAGGGAAGGAAAGGTTGTCTCAAGGCTGTGTTGACAGAAGAGCTGCTGCTCTGTTTCTGGGCAAATTTTAGACCTCTTGTACAGTGGTGTAACAAGAAGTGTGAGCAAGGACTTAAATGCACTGCTGGAAATTTATGACCCCTCCTTATCACTTTTGTGGTGGCAGGGATGCAGCTCCCTGGGGCTGTATACCTGTGCATAATGGAGCCATTTGTGGTCATGTTTCAGAGTGATCTCTTGTTTTCTGAAGCCTTCCAGCATTGATGAAAGCATTATGGGTGCAAGAAATAGTGGTGCCAGGCAAAAGAACAGCTGACTAAATGGGGAAAAGGATTGTTTACGTGTTGTATGTTGCACTGAGTGAGGTTTGTGGGCAGCTATAGGCAGCTTTTTACCAATTAGCTCCTTCTGGAAAGTGGGGAATGAAATTATTTTTGTAACTAAACTAGCTATTTATATGATAAAAGATGCTGACATTTCCTACAAATGTTGCTTTCCTTATGTCATTTGTGGCTGTGAGAGTATTACAATTCCTAGCATACAGTAATACATTCTTTTGTAAACAAGAGTACTCAGGTTGAGCTGAAGCCACTGTTCATAGCCACACTGATGTCATTGTCCTTTAGAGAAGTGGGATCCATGGAGACACCTTTGGTTGCATTACACTTTAGGTGGTGAACCTGTACTGCTTGCAGGAAAAGCTCTGTGGATTTACTATGCCAGCCTTTACTGGGAAGAAGTTTATGGAGAGCAGCATTAGTGATGGACGTTGTTTGGATTAATTACAATATAAACAATGTTATTATCCTTCTATTCCTAACACTTCCTTGAACTATGAGAACTATATGAAAACATCTGAAGGCTTTTAACATGATCACAGCACAATGTGGTCTTCTGTCTGAGAGACTGCTGGGCACTTGCAAGGCCACGCAGTCTTGGTGGAAGTGGCTTGGTGCAAAGCTTGCTCTGGGGCACAGCTGGTCCTTTAGCAAGGTACCACTTTTAAACTGGTGTCCTCTGCACAGCCCTGCAGCCAGGAGAGAAGTCCTTTTTCCATGGCTGCCTTCCCTTTGTTGCTTGGGTAGGGAAAGTGCTTGGGTCTGCTGCTGATGTGCATGGCTGCCCTGCCCTTGCTGTGGCAGGATGCTATTGATTTATCTCTAATGCAAGAGATACTTCCAGATCTGTATATTATGATATAACTAGATGTACGTTTTTTTCCCCTAAATTGTTGCAATAATTCTGTCTCAGTAGGTCAAAAATAATGACCTAGGCTGACTGAGTATTTTAAAAGCTAATTTAGGGGGAAAATGAGGCATGAAAGCAAAACATTGGGGAAAGGAAGATCCTTTAAGTGATAATCTTTATTGAACCTTTTAAAATTAGCTTCCTGTTCACAGTTCTGAGCAGCATTTAGTCATGCCATTTATTGCAGTCCTTTAATCAAGTGATCTTCAAAAATGACTTTTAGTACAAGGATTTTCTACAGTGGCTTTGCAAAGCTATTTTTTGTTCTGCAGATAGATAAGGCTAAAAACATACAACTTGCTTCTGCCTTTCAGATGTTTTTTGAGATACCTAACAATTTTTTTTAACTTGGGAGTTGCCTAAAGTTGTTATTTCTCTCCTCATGCTATCCCCAAGAGGAAGAACATCTTTATCATCAATGTCCAATGATCCCTTCTGTTGAGATATTAAAGAGGATCTTGTTCATGTCCTTGCATATGCCCCTCCTTCCATTCAACCCTCAACCTGTCCTGCAATCTCCTACCATCTGTGAAAGGGTGAGAACATCCAGTGTGGATCTTGTTTCTCTAGAGATTTGAGCCAGCCCCTCCACATCAGACACCCTGTCATGACTAATAGTTGGTCATTACTCTTAATAGTGATTCCCTTATGTTTGAGGTGTTATTTGTTATGCCAGGAAGTCAGGCAGGCAGTGGCATATCATGCAGAGGAAGTCACTTATACGGAGAAGGATGTAAGGTACTTGGGATGAGTGAGTTGCTTAAAAAGGTCTTGAAGATTGGCAATGCAGTGAAACATCTGTTGTTAGCTGTTGAGGAGAGCAAAGCTGAACATATGCTCTGTCACGTGGCTGAAAAAACTGTAGTCACATCTCTTGAATATAAAGTTTCTTAAAAGATTTAACTCTTTCCAAAAGTAATCAGAAGAAAAATGTATTTACTGAACTTTGGTTATTTACTTTCTCTAACAATGAGATCATCAGCAAAGGAGATTTCTTGAAAAGCTGTGTGAAATATGACAATGAAAAGGCTCTGTGTGGGATAAGTGGGGATAACATGTTACCTCCCTTTTTTTTCTGGTATACCCCAATTGGGAGGATTTATTAATTCACCCTTCACTATGATTTAGTCACTGCTTGGAACTTGAATTCAACCTAATGCCACCCTCAGGTGCCCAGGATTCTCTTGACACCAGATGTCTGGGCTGCCACTGTGGAGGTTTGCAGGTGCCATGGAGTTCAGCCTTCTCCCCAAATAACACTTTATTTTTTTTATTTGTTCAGCTGGTGACGGGAGTATTGGAAGGAGGATACAATTTCTTCTGCCAGGATACACACAGTGGAGGAGAGGCTGATATGAAGGTACCTTAATTGAGACTTAGAGCTGGTAATGTTTCAGATTGTCCACTTGAGTGTAAGTGGAGAGCAGAACAGTATTGATTATGCACATTTTGCTTAAACTATAAGCTTTTTTCCTCCTTTTACAGTACAATGGACAATGCACTGTCAGATATAATAGTTAATCTATGATATATTTATGGTTGGTATTTTTCTGAGTAATTATGCGCAAATTTTCAAGTGTCCTCAGATGAAAAAATGAGGACCTGGTCTTCAGACTGTATCCAACCACTCTGTGTTGAGCCCACCCTTCTCCTTCTGAGATATGGTGATGATTCTGGTCACACTTCTGACCTCTCCTTTACAGACAGCACTGCAGCACCAGCTCTGGTTAAGTATTTTCTTATTTCTCCCAGGACAACCCAGGTGCACAGCAGTAGCCTCATGAAGCAGTCTTTGTCATCCTGTTTTCAGCTGTAGCTATAGATTTGTACCTTGATCTCCCATGGAGAAAACTGAGGCAGAAGTATTACAGAACATCCCAGCAGTGTCTTCCATCCAAGTAGTGTAGGACAGAATCTGAATTTTAATTACTTAGATACCATAAGAGTTGAAAGCCCCCACAATGTGTAATGCTTCTAAAACTTGTTTCCTCCTTTCCAGATCATACGTGTCCTCTGGTGGTACTATTTCTCCAAACTCATTGAGTTCATGGATACCTTCTTTTTCATTTTGAGGAAAAATAATCATCAGATCACTGTTCTGCATGTCTACCACCATGCAACAATGCTGAACATCTGGTGGTTTGTTATGAACTGGGTGCCTTGTGGTCACTGTAAGTACTGGGTTATGGTGGGGGAACATCTGCAACAGGGGATTTGTTTTGATGGTCTTTTGATCAAACCAAACATCTCTGGTACCTTCAGCTGCAGGATTTGTTCTGGATTGCAACTATTGTAGATGGTTGCAGGAATTAAGCTACCAGCACAGCCTCTAGGAAAGGAATGCCTATGTGGTTTGAAGAATTTGTGTGGCAGTGTGACATTTATCAGGTGCATTAGCGCAGGTCAGATACCCATCAACGTTGCTTTCTCTATTTTTGCTGTAGTTACAGACCTTCTGATATATTCTTTTTTAAGTCAAGCCAGAAGCTTGTTTCAGCTGTAAAACAGCTAAAAGCGACTCTTGTATCTGTAAAGTTCACTTGAGATATTACTTTCTTAATTTAATCTCATTATACCACTGGCCATAACAAATTATTTAAATTAAATTCTTGTCCCCTGAGCACTAATGGACATGAACAAATTAATCTTAAGTGGAAGATTTCCATGTCTGTCTTGTCTGAATCCTGCTAACCTTTGGCAGTCTGGCTTTAATTCTTTACTTCCATTGCACTTAGCTGGCATTAGCACGGCTTAGCTGTGGTTAGGATGTGCAGCTTATAGATACTGGCTTTGTTGAACGCTTCATTCAAGAGAAACCTTTTCAAACCCAATGGATGTGAGCTACTGGCAGTGCAGACCCAGAGCATGCATTCCTCAGGAGTCTGCTGAGCCAAAGAGCATAGAAACTCGTATTTGTTTTTGTGTTGTCAGCACAACAGTGAGTAATACTGAACTTATAAAAAGTCTGCATCTGGAAACACGTTCTCTTCCAAGGAACTCAAGCCTTTTTCATACAGCAGTGAAAACTCCATATACTTAAAATCCATCTTGTGCTCATGTGGTCTTGAAAACACTTTTGTGCTATTTCTAGTCATGTGTTTTTCATCTTCCAAGCTTTATGTTCTGTTGTGTCATCACAGTTCTATGCAGTTCAGTGTTGAAGTGAGAAATGACAAAATTGGCTCCTGCCTGGAAGGAAGTGAAATCAACCTAAAATTAGATGGGTGAAACTATTGATTGTTTGGTATGTGAGCATTCCTCCTTTTTATCAGTTTCCTCAGTTCTCTTGAGAAACCATAATGTAGATGTGAAAAAGGGTAACTTGAGGAAACAAAACCAGAAGGCTGGTGTAAAGCACAAAGCTGCAAAGCAGCTCAGCTACTCCATCGGGTAGGCAGAATAAAAAACAGGGTAAAAAAAGAACCCTCTTGCTTTTCTTCTAAGAGAAATCATATTTTAAATAGCAACATTTTGAACATGTTATTTTTGTAGATTCCATGAAACAGCACGTTCTTTCTTGGTAATGCAGTGTACTTTCTTTTTCCCTTGCCCTTTTTTTAGCTTACTTTGGTGCCACACTGAACAGCTTTATCCATGTCCTCATGTACTCCTACTACGGATTGTCCGCTGTTCCAGCAATGCGTCCTTATCTGTGGTGGAAGAAGTACATCACTCAGGGGCAGCTGGTGAGTGATTTGCTCTTCAGTGCTTCAGCAGGCTCTTGTATTCATAATGAGGTCCTCTTGTCTTTACCGAGTTAGGAAATTTTGACAGGGGATAGAAGAAAAGAGAATGAGACCTGGTACCTTCTACATCACCTTAGAAATCCAGCTTCTGCAAATCTGTTTGCTCTGTTTTCAGGACAAGGGGGAGCTGGGGTCTGGGGCTGTACTTGAATCAGTGCTGAGGTCTGTGGGATCTTTCTCCCCCTCACCATGTTGTGTGGCTAGATGTATGGGGGAGGTATGGGGGAGTTGCAGTGCTGGGATTTCTGGGACTCAGTAGCCAGGGTGGAGGCTTTTCTTCCAAGCCCTCTTGAGCTAGCCTGCTCTTCCCTGTTGGGGAACCTGCTTGGTTGGTCAGGCTAGGACAGACCAGAAACCGAATGCAACGCTGTCCACAGCTAACAAGGGCCATTCTAGTCCTGCGGGACAATGCCTTTTCTGTCCTACTTTTGCATACAGTTGCAAACGGTTTATTAAAAACTATTCAATATTTTTGTTCTCTTTCTGCACTTCAAATGGGCAGAATTTTTCTCTTTTAATTCTGTGTTGGACTCCTTGTATCCGTTTGCACTGTTTTGTGTGTGTGCAGTGATGAAGCCTGACCACTGTGCTGGAGGTGATAAGAGCAGTGAAATTAGGTAATGCAGCACATGCTGTAGTGATACTGCATGAGAACCAGGTTTCAATGTGTACAGCATGTCAGAGCACCACAAGGAAATGTGCATGAGTGTTCTCTCTTCCCCATTTTATAGGGGGGGAATCTGAAACCTAGAGATAAATTATTTTGTTTTAATAACATTTGCTGGTGATGATTAATAACATTTACTGCCAGCAATTCGCAGTGTTGATTCTCAACATATTTTTTTAGCACTGTTCTTCCTGAAGAGTGGCAAAGTACTGTAGCTGAGGGCTCATTATTTTCAAGGAAGGCATGAGGAGGGTTGCTTTGGTTTGAGGTTTGTTTCTGTTTTTCTTCCCAGATTTAGGCTCTATTCTTCATCCTTGTTGTTCAAGTGCTACAGAGTGTCTCAGTGCTTCAATTGCTTCCCTGGCTATTGTCATAGCTGCTTTCACTTCCTTGCCTGCTCTGCATGCATAGCTGTTAGGGCAGCAAAATAGCAGAGCAGAACAAACAGTCTTTCCCTTTTTAAATAAACATTCCCTAATCTGGTAGCCTTTATGTGAGGTGAATTTTGCCTAAGGCCCTCTGCATTACATAAGCCCAAACTCTGTTTTTCCAAATGAGATAATTAAAGATAATTGGACCCTTTTCCTCCTCCCTGGCTCCCCAGCTTCCCTGCAGCCTTTATCCCAAAAATTCTTCTACTGGAGCCATATGTCAGACAATTTCTGTCTGTGGGAAGAGATTGCAGGGGTCTGTGTGTAGATCAAGTGACCCCAGGTCTTCCACAGCTAAAGCAGTGAGATCTACTCCATTAGGATGGTAAAGTCAAATCCCAATGAACTCTCACTAAGAAGGTGGTCTTTTTTCCTTGGGACATTTATATATCAATTCTATGTAAGTTACTCTAATGTTCTAAAATGGAAAAATACAAATAAACACGCTTAACAGGATACCACAGTCTGAATGTCTGCTCATTCAGGTTTACAGAGAAAATACTTGCCAAACACACAATATTGCATACTCTTTACTTGTTTTGGAAATAACTGTTGAGATTTTGGTCACTCATGGTGTTTTTTCCTTCTTCCATTAATGTGTTCCATTTCTCTTATTTTTGTTTTCTCTCCCCAGATTCAGTTTGTCTTGACAATCTTCCAGACCAGCTGTGGTGTTGTTTGGCCATGTGCATTTCCTCAGGGATGGCTGTATTTTCAGATTTCTTACATGATTTCTTTGATTATCCTCTTCACAAATTTCTATATTCAGGTAAAGTAGCATTCATCAACTCTTTCTAGCATTCTACTGGCTGTATCTCACTGGAAAGCTGTTACAGAAAGATATGTTTGAAATGTCCTTTTGCTATCCTTTACAAACATGCATATGTTCTTGAAGTACTGCAATTGTTGATCTACCCTCTATTTTCAAATCTTCTCATTTGCTGCACCCGTAATTCAGAAAGCTTAGTAATTTCAGTAAGCCAGAGTGATACAAAGAAATGGCTTACTGCAATTCTACCTGCAGGTAAGGGAGAGGAAGAGCTTTATGCAAGACAGAGCTTTCCAGTCTGAAATAAACAGCAAGTGAACCTGTGAAGCACCTGAAGGAATTGTTCATTTTGCTTTTAAAAAGGGAAATGCTTGTTTTTTTTATCCAGAGAATCTTTCCTCACAACGTGCAGAAATATGGATTTTGTTTGTATTTTCATATGGAAAATTAGTGGGTTAGTTGTGATTCTACAAATCTGACTTAATGTTTGAACAGATCCAGACTTGGTATGAGTTGTTCTGAGAAGCTCATAACTGGGCTCTGTACAAAGATGGACATCTACTGTCTACAGAAAATCAAACCAGCATCCTTCTGTCTTAAAGAAGCAAACTCTATTATATGTTTCAAATGTCATTTGAGAGATTTGGGCATTTTGGTTCTGGTGAGAATGATTCATGGGGGAAAACACAGCAGGCTTCCCTGTCTGTTCTTTTGGTACTTCTTAAAATCAGTCCCATGATTTCTATCACTTGCTGCATATGAACATGCTAATTAAACATTATAGTATATTCCAGATATTACTTGATTTTCTTTGTCAATTTTGCTGATATTTTAACTTTTAATTGTTTAAATTCACACAGAAAACTGGGGAAATGTGCTTTTCTCAGGCAGCTGAGCCCCTTTGAAAAAAATTAATGTGTATTTCACTGTCTGTAATTTTCTTTGACAGTTTGCCCCATCCTGTTAGTTTTTGATTCTTGTGTTAGCCAATGGAAATTCCCATCACATTTCTATCTCTGAACTTCCCTCACTTTAATTGTTTACCCACCTCTTGTTCTGGCTTTGTTCAAGGTACTGTCACCTGCAGTGCCTCAAATCTCCTTCCTCACATGTTTTGAGTATATTGTTATCCCATAGTCTGCTCATAAAATTGCTTCCCTTGTTTCTAATTTAGTGTATTAGTATAACACTACCATCACACTGCCAAGCCTTTTTCTTTTCAAGTGAACCACTCCTCTCACTGTGATGAATGAAAGGCATAGTATAGTCTCATACACAAAAAGTGGTAGAGCTTGTTAGACTCTTACTGCCGGCACAAGGTCTTTAAAAATGATGAATGCAAGTTTACTTTTGTGTTTCTAGAGTTACTGTGAGGAAGTGGTTATTTATATATAATTAAGCAAAACCATGTGCCTTTCCATGTATTCTAGACTTACAACAAGAAGGCATCCTCAAGGAGGAAAGAGTATCAGAACGGCTCCACGGCCATTGCAAACGGGCACACAAACAGCTTTTCTTCCCTTGAGAACAATGTGAAACAAAGGAAACAAAGGAAGGATTGAAGACCAAACTGAAAAACCATTTTGGTAACCCCAACAACAAAATCATCTGATTGTAAGCACAATGAGAGTTGTGCACTAATACTCTAATGGCTACTGTAACTATTCCTGCCTAGAATAGTGTGATTTATGTAGGACTTAACCAGTGCAAACACCCTAGAAACCGTATACAGAACATAAAAGTAGGTTAAAGTTTAAAAATAATTCTGGGCTGTCACTGACCCTGCTATAGACTATGGAAGGGAGTATTATCATATTATCTGACACTGCTGTTGCCTTACTAGTCAATATGATAGGTGCTGAATTATGATTCACAATTTGAAAACACTGTAATCTAAACCTCCATTTTTTAAACTATAGATCATGCATGTGATTGTAGAGGTAATTTGTATGATGCTGGTTTCAGTAGATAAACACACATGCCTTAAATTAAAAAGCAGGGCCCAAAGCTTATTACTGGTTTAAAAATTAGGGTATGTTTCAGCTTTTCAATTGATTGACTTTTTATTAAAAAGTCATTTAGAAGAATCCATTGATCATTTTACTGTTCTGTATGTGATACACGATGCTACGTATCTCTTACTCGATACAGTGAAATTGGAAATGGCACATTTAGTTTTGTATATTTGGCTTTAATTGATTCAACAGTCACAAAACAGATGGAAAAATTATTTTACCTTTTTAATAGATCTTATTTTTTTATTTGAAGTACATCACTAACACAAAAGTAATTGGCACTTACAGTCGAGTAAGATTTAAATATTGTCTCTAAAGTTTAGAGCATATACAGGGTGGACCCATCTATTCTTTTTACTTTTTTTTCTTTTTTCTTTCTTTCTTATTTCTGAGAATTCTTAAATGCTAAATGAAGAGTGTTTTTTAATATGAAACTGGCAGTTTCAAGTGTTATTACCATAGCCATATCCATGTTTTAGGAGCTACTGTTTAAGTCTGTGACATATCCAAAAGTGTATTTAAAAGTGGAGCCAGAAAGATGCTTTTCTGATGGAATTGTCTGTATTTAAGTTGGTATCTGAATTGTTCTTCATGTAGCATACATTCACTTTCAAAATGTGCCTAACACAAAAATGGTTTTTTTCCCTAAACAAGCAAGTTTAAACAGTTTAAGTCATAGCTAATGTTTTTAAATGTTACTGAAATGTGCTGGAAATGTCTACTTCTGTAATGTGAGTTGTGTATATCACTGGTAATGTTTTGGCTTGTTAGCTAAGGATTTGGTTTGAGTGCTGGTTAAAGTTACTCCTTCTTGTAAAATGCTGTCTTGCACATATGAGGAGTCAGTTGCAAAGCCAGTATTATCTGTTGCTGGTATTCTGGTATCTGCCATGGTGGAGTCCATTAAGCTCTGAAAAATTGAATTGTGCAAGACGTTCTGCTGGTCATTGCTCAAGTTTAACTATTTGGGTTTTTGATATTTATATAAATGCCAGTTTTAACACATTTAATTGTTTTTAAATATTTTTTAAAATTTTTGCACATCTCTTAAGGAATTAATAAGTTCTCTTACTAGCCTTGTGGGTTTTCATTCCTTGTTTTGAAGGAGACAGTGTCTGTTATGTTTACATTATCAAAGCTTGTGCGTGTGTCTTCATTTCTAGGTACTGGTTTGCAGAGTCTTTACATAGCTCAGTACAGCAGCTATAATGTTCAAAATAGGCTGTCTAAATGTGCTAGAAATAAACTCTTGGCTCATCTGAGTATACTTCATTGTTAATGTTTGAGATGGTTTAATCATTAAAACACTTTTGATGATCTCTGCCTGAATTCTGTGGGTTTGTACAGATTTAATGCATTGCCCCATCCAGTGTCAGGCCAAGGAGGAGGCAACATGATGGAAGAACAGCTGCAGATATTCAGGGACATTTAGCGTACCAGAGATTTGGCAACAAATTCTTTAGAGAAACCTTTGGCAGTTACTAAGCACTGTTCTCTTGCCTGGCTGTAGAAACACTGGTCTGTGTGATGGATTTAACTCCTGCTGGGATTACTGACTTGCTGAATGCAGAACAGCCCCAATAGCTCGAGATGAGTGCCAGGAGCAGAGCTTAACCTGACTGAGAGGGACTTCCCTGCCTCAGTCCTGTCTATAAAATGGGGATGATACCTCTCACCAGAATGGCAGCAGTTTTGCAATTTCCTTAATTTCCCCTTGCCCTTAGGTGATTATTTTGGAGCCCTCTCTGATTTGAGTGTTTAATCAGTACATTGCAACAACCCCAGAGAGACTGGTGATGGACTTGGTAAAACAGAGCTATTTATGTAGCTGTCTGTCTTTTCCCTTGCAGGCTTTTAACACAAAAAACATAGACCAGGGAAATGGGTTTACACTTCATGTGAAAGGCTCAGAGGTTTCATGCTGTGTTGGTCTCCTCTGGGAGGGTGCTCTGAATGCCTGAGCTGGTTCCTAAGGCAGTTTCTTCTCCTTCACATGCCAATTCAACTATGAAATTGTGTGTGCTTCTAAGCAAGGCTCAGTAAGATGCAGTTCTTTGGATGTTAAGCCAAATCTCCAGGAAGTACCTAGAAGGCAGAAGCCACAGCACCAACCTAGCCTCTCCATGTGAGCCAGCAGAGATGGGGCTGCTGCACTGCAAACCTTGCCTTCAAGGTTAATGGCACATGGTGACAAAACCCGATGACTTAGTCCAAAACTGGCAGGAGATGTGACCTTGGGAACATCAGCAGTGTCTATACCTGCATGGCAAAAGCTGTGGCTCCTGGATATTCTTCTGCAGTCTCAGCAGCAACTGAAAAGTGTCAAAAGCTGGATTAGATCAGACATCATCTTGCCATAACTGATGGACCAAGGCACGAGCCTTGGGTCTGCCCACCTGGCTCAGCTTCCAGTGCATCACCTGACCTGGGGCAAGTTAGAGCCTTTGGGTTGCCTCAATTTCCTGATCACACATAGTTTTCCTAATAGCTGGGATTGGTGCCTGGGACTATGAGAGAGTCCTCAGAAAAGACCTTTTGTGTTGTAAAAGCAGGAGAGTTGAAAAAAGATGAACTGTTCCCAACAAGATGGAGAGGTTTCATGTAAAGGTGGCTGAGGAGAATGAGACAGTTCAGTCCTTTGCAGAGGGAATGACCAAGCTACAAACCATTAGGTTAGGATCTTGTGCAGTTCATGAACTGACCAAATCCCAGTGATGATAAGAAATGTTAAGCTTTTGTTCAGCTGTGAATGGGATCAGTAAGCTCAAATGCCAGAAAGCAGCTTTTTTAGGGTGATCCTGCTATAAAGACATTGAGTGCTGCATCATGAATGTGCAAGCCATCCGTGGGACTGGGATCACTCAGGAACTGGGATTCTTGAGTTGGCAGGGAGAGGAAAAGCAGAGAAAATTATGGAAATCTTTGTGGTTGATTGTGTATTTTACTTGATGCAAGAGAGATACTAAGTAAGTGTTGGCGCTTATGATAGGACTTACATCCCCAAAACTGAAGTAACAAAAGCTCCAAACCTCATAGGGAGCTGTTCTGGGGGTTGCCTTGCCTTTGATACTTGGTAGCTGTCTTGAGTTTAAGTTGATAAAATGTGTTTTTCTTATATGAGACTGGAATGTATGTTGTTAAAATGTATGCATTATTCACAAAAAAAGAGATGGAAAAGTAAGATGGACTCTGAAAAGTATAAATAAAATTGGAGGCCAAATTACTTGAACTGTGAGGGTTCTGCAGGGAATCCCTTTGAGGCAATGCAGGAAATTATAAAATACAGATAGAGATCTGTTAGAGAAATGCTGCTCCAAGTTGTAGTGGTACAGAGGATTAACTTACATTGTCACTGTCATCCTCTTGCCAAGAATTACTGTACCAACAAAAGTGATTCGTTATGATCATCAGGATGTCTCACAAACTGATTTATAAAGCAAACTTTGATTCCATTTTCAATTTTAATTCATTTACTTTAAATAGATATACAAAACAAGGTCCATATATTATCCATTTCAGTAGAATGCATTTGTATGAACAGGGGAAGCTGGAGTTCCCAAGGCCTCCCATGACATGACAGTAGCAGAGGCATTAGTTTTTAAGTCACAGATACTAAAATAATCTCCAACAGAAAGGAGGGAAAAGAGCACAAAGGTCTCCAGTTAAAAAAATGTATAATGTTTAAATCAGTCAAGCTGGGATGTGGAGAAGGAGGAAAGAGACTTACATGCCTTGTATTTCAATGATATATAATGTAGATACTATATTTTCTGTACAAGGAATGTAGAAGCTCTCTGGTAGATGGTAGACTTGATAGTCTGATTTCAGTATGATGACAAGTTTCAGAATAAATGGGAAGAATGAGTACAAGGAATTAAAACAGGAGAAAATTTAACAGTGCTTTTCTGGAAGTAATCACATCTGATTGACCCATATTGTTTTTTATTAAAAAAAAACAAAACTGTATTGATAAAGGAAATACATCTTCCATCCCTCTGGAATAGGTAATATTTTTTATCTTGGAAATTATTATGTAAACTAGAGGGTGTGGTGACCAGCAACAGAATTCGTGGATAAGCAAGGTCAAACTGGTGTGCAAATGGTTTGTCTCAGTGCTTTCAGCCAGAACGGAGCCCATTAATCATGCTTCAGGAGAAACCCTGGTATAAAAACCAGGACTGTTTGCAGCAATGTTTGGAGATGAGGACATCAGAAAGTACTGTCAGTTCCAAGAAAGATTACATCTCCTACAGTAACTACCTTGATGGCTGAAGTAAGAAATGAGATTGCTGTAATTCCCCCTTAGGAACCAGTAACAGAATTTCAGCTGTTTCCACAGGAGTTCTAGTTGGACATGGCTGAATAGGAGAGAAGGAAGATATATTGTGAATCATATCTTCAACAACTTAGAGCTGCTACTGTGAAAAAAGAAAAAAGGGGGGAAAATCTCTTATTTGCTAACTGGTCCATTTTTAGTAGGAAGAATGTGAGAATGTGCTAGCGTGGGAGGATGAGGCTCTGGCAGGACTTCCTTTTGATGAATACATTAGCTCTCAAGAAAACTAATTTTAAAAGATCTGCTGTACAGAAGAATTACTGGGATGGTCAGAGAAATGGAGAAGTTGTACAAAACACATGTTTAACAAGAGCGGTGTTGAGAAGGAATGTAACCTCAGCCAACACAGGCATCACAGCAGTAGATTCAAATTTTCATGAAGGAAAATGAGCTATTTTAAGTGTATGACTCAAATCAAATGGGTATAAGCTACCCAAGAGTGTTCCTAGGCTAGAAATAGGGAGAGTGCCTTTTAAGTGGAATATGGCTCTGGAACATTTTTCCCATAAGAGTGGTGTGAAGCTCTGGGGGATTGCTTGAAGATGGGTCACTGACCACTTCTAAAGCTGCTAAGGCCAGGGATGGGACCCCCTGATGAGCTGTTCTGCATTCTTGCAAAAAGCAGCTGTTGATGCCTTTGTGAAAGTATATCTAAGAAAGGGCAAAACAGGGAGAGGAGTGATGACAAAAGTGTGAGAAACAGCCCTGCAGACACCAAGGTGGGAGAGGAAGGAGGGGGAGGAGGTGATGCTGGAGCAGATTCCCCTGCAGCCTGTGGAGAAGCCTATGGCAAAGCAGATACCCACACTGCAGCCCATGGGGGACCATGTGATAGAGCAGGTGGACATGCCCTGAAGGAACTGCAGCCTGTGGAGAGCCCATGCTGCTATGGAGAGCCCAAGTTTTTCCTGAGCGACTTCAGCACATGGGAAAGGCCCACACTGCAACATGAGTAGGAAGGAGAGAGGAGCTGCTGTGGACTGACCACAACCACCCCCGTGCCACTTGGAGCATGGAGGAGGTAGAGGGGGTGGGAATGAAAGAGTGAAATGGCATTGGAAGAAGGAGGTAAGGAGTAGGAGTTTTTGTTGTTCTCTTTGTGTCTCACCATTCAGCTGTTCTATTTTAATTGGAAATACATTCAATTATTTTTCCCAGAACCCATTTGGGCCATGACAATTATTGCTGAGTGAACCTTTCTGTCTTTATCTCAAACCTCAATCTTTCCATCTTATTTCCACCCCCAATCCTGTTGAGGCGGGGAGAGAGCAGCTGGGCGGGTGTCAGGCAGGTGTCCACACCACATGGACATTTTGTCCTATTATGAATCAGCAGGTCAGGCAGAAGGCAGCTTCCTTGATCAGAAGGAAAAACTGCCAAAGGCCACGAGGTACCAGGCACCAAAATGCCTAAAGGCCATTATGGTACAGCTGGAGGTGTTGTAGCCTGGGAAAACCTGCTCCCTGGAGTGAACCAACTGCTTTGGTTTTGTTTTGTTCTGTTTGTTTTTTAATTTTTCTTTTTTCCCCCAGATCTAACACATGTTAAAACAACACCTTTTCCAGGAATCTGACCCATAATTCTTGGAAAGTTTTTAGAGGCAGTGTAGGAGCCCCTGTTTCCTGACAGAAGGCACCACACTGACATGACATGTAAAGGAAACCTGTGTTCAGAAGAAAGGTCCTCAGTTCCCTCATGAGAGGAATTGCCTCACACCCTTCAGAGGCAGCTCGAGTTCCAACTCAAACAGGGATGATCCAGCAATGTGACAAAAAGAAATGCAGAACTGTACTCATTGTCACATTTCATTTGGGACCAGCTGAAACTTTAAGGGAATTGACTCTGTTGACATAAAAATGCAATCCCAAAGTTGTTTACACCTGGGTCTTTGCTGCTCCTGTGCTGGTATAATGGGGAATGCACAATCCCTGTGGCACAATTGCACTTTTACTGCCTGAGACTTGCCTAAGTGGATATTCACAG